AAGAGGTAAGGGTTGTATGTGACATCAGGCAGAGCCCAGAGGTGGGAACTCCACGGAGCCTTCATTCCCACCTCTGTGGAGGAGGCTGGGAAAAAGCTGCAGATGCCTGTACCTCATCAGTCATGCCTGAGAGCCAGACACTGTTACCAGTGCTCTTGCTGGGGAGAGAAGGTAGCTCGAGGTGGCATGGATTTGAGGGTCAAGGGCTGTGACATCTGTCATGGTACTTCTCCACTTTCCCACTGGGAACAATAGAATAGCCAACACTTTCCTACTGCTTATTATGTGTACTTTATGCATGTGTTCTATGAGGCAAGTGCTATGAATACTGGCCTGTTATCACAGATGGGGAAACTGAGGCACAGAGCAGTTGGATAACTTGTTCCAGGTCATACAGGCAGAGACTGGACTCAAATCAAGGAGTCAGGTGCCAGAGCCCTTGCGTATGCCCATTACACTATCCTAGTGATAACCTGTGAACAATGGGAAATGGTGAATATCTCTTGGGTGATATTTCACCACATGTGCAAAATTTCTGACATACTCCTATTTTGTCTTAAAAATTCACATACGTCTTGCATCTTATAACTCTCTATATGTTTAATCAAGACAATGCCTCCCACCTGGTAACCAAGTAAAACTGATGCTTCGGGGAGATGTGTCACATCATCCCGAGGCACTGAACAGCCCCAGAGACGTGGTCTGTGGCAGGAACCAGGCGCAGGTGTCAGAGCGGGAAGAGCTCGGGCTGCCTGGAGGAGGTGGACAAGGAGGGACTGGAGCATTTCACTGTGGTGCTGCCTTGCTCTTCCCCTTTCGCCTCTTCCCTTGACTACACTGGCCACTCTCTCAAGTCAGGGTGCTGGGACTTCCCCGCATGACCTTCACTGTGAAGGTCATCTGGAAACTGGCTACTCCTGCTTTGTGGTTGCTGGGCTGCCGTGTTTGTGATTGCTGTTCCTCCTCCCTCCTCCCTCCTCAACTCCTCTTTCTTCCTCTCCCCCGCCTGCTTCCCATTCTTCCTCCCCTTCTCATCCTTCTCTTCCTCCCCCCTCCTCCTCCTCTTCCCACTCTTCCTCCTTATCCTTCTCATCCCCCTCCCCCTTTCTCTCCCCTCTTTCCCTTCCTCTTCCCCCTTCACCTCCTCCTCATCTTCCTCCTCATCCCCCTCCCTTTCTCATCCTCCCCCTTCCTCTCCTCTCCCTCCTCCTTCTCCTCCTCCTCCTCCCCCTCCTTTTTCTCTTGTTTTCTTCTGAAGGAGGCCTCTCTGAGGACCATGTGACCTCACACATGTCTGTGGTCAAGCTCTGGGAGCCTCTTCATTTTACCCTACAGCATTTAGTTCTCTCCTCCACCGAGTTCCTCTATTTTCTAGAAGTTTCATGTTTGTTCATGTTGAGCCACTGCAGAAACCCCCTTGAATGGCCTTAAAAAAATCACAGCAACCAGCACAAAACCAGCATTTCTATTCTCCTTTCTTTACGTCCTAGTTTCCAAAAGTCCTGCTTCCTTGGCCAGACAACTGGCTGGCTTTATGTGATGTCTTTATGTCTTTAAGTTTCAGACTTGATGTGCTTTCTTGCATGGCTGCCTGGAGCCCTGCAGGGCCATTTCTCCACCACCGGGGAAATGTCCGGCTGCCCCATCAGCCCAGCATCTCTGAGGTCTCCTTAGCATTCGTCTGTTCATCTAACAGGTGATTATTGAGTGCCTACTTTTGGGTAGGGATGCAGCCGGGTACATGACTAACTTATCTTGTGAAACTCACATTGTGGGGAGGGATTGCACTGGAGCCGGACAGACAGCCCCTCCCCACCCCCGACCACCAAACCAAAAAACAAAAACAAAAAATAGCCCCCAAAACACACACCCACACACACACACACAAAGCCCCAAGAAGTAGATAAATAATATACTTTCAGATAGTTATAAGTGCTATGAAGCAAATAAAGTAGGATGGTACCCAGAGTGAAGAATGAAGAGAAGGAACGTGTGCAAAGACCGGGGGAGGATCTCCAGGAGTGGCAAGGAGGCTGGCAAGGCTGGAATGCAGGAGCTGAGGGGGAGTGAGGTGCCAGGGGAGGAGGGAGAGGGAGACAGAGGCCAGATCACCAGCACCTTCTACGTCCTAGTAAGGGGTTAGGTTTTAGCTTACACGTAGTATGGGAGTAACACGATCACTTCTTGAAAAGGACCACTCTGACTGTTGTGGAAAACAGATTTTAGGCATCAAGAATGGGAACAAGGGAACCCACTGGGAGGCTATTATAGTAATCCAGGTGATTCCACTGGGTGCAGGAAAGAAGGAGAAAAAGAAATACACTCAAGATAGACTGTAGAGAGGTGGCCAATGGTGGAGTAGAAAATGCTCTGATCTGGGACTCAGAAGTCCGGTGATTGAATCTTCAGTCCACCACCTACTTGCTCTGGGAGCTTGTATGAGTCGCCTAACTTCTCAGGCGGTTTGTCTATAAGGTGAAGACAGTGACATGGCCTCCACATTTCTCAGGTGGGGGAGAGGAAGAAGGTGAGTGTCCCAGCAGGGTGTCTGTGTGACAGAGGCATGTCCTTATGATGGCGAGGGGTTTCCTGGAACCCACGTCTCCTCCACTACAAGGGTGAAAAGGCAAGATTGTCATCCAGGCTTTAGGGAGCTGGCTCACCCTTAAGCTAAGTCAAAGCTCACTCCATGTTGGAAGCGAAGGGTGCATTTGGGGGTGATTCCTTTCCAAAATAGAGAAGTGGGTTTGAGGTGGGGTTAGATGACACTCTGGACTGGTGAGGGGCTGATGGTGGCTGGACAAGGCAGAAGGGCTTGGTTCTGGGGGCAAGCCTATCACTGTCCCGAGGGGTAGCTGGTAAAGGTGATTCTGAACATATGTCTCTTGGTGCATGGGGAAGGTAGCCTAGGGAACATTGACACGTTCCCAGAAAGTCTTAGCAAGGCTGGGTTTTGATCTTTCATGGGTGGAGTAGGTCAGTTTCAAGCCCTTTCCATGGAAGTTCTGAGAGCAGATGTCCCACCCCTGGAAATCACCTACCCGATGTTGGCTTGTGGTCGTCTGTCCTGTGGCTCTGGGAGCCAGCTGACCCTGGGGCAGGGTGCATGGACTTTTACTAAGGCATGAATCAAAGGTCAGCATAACATGAGCGATATTCGTGGGCAACGCCCCTTTCTCTTTAGCCTTCTGAAGTCTGGACTCTGGACCCTCAGGTTTCTATAGGGAAGTGGAAGGGAGCTGACATCAACTGTTTGCTTACGATATGCCTGGCACCTTGCCAAGCACCATACACTACTCATAATGTGGTGAAATAAACATTATTTTTTTTTAATGTTTTTTATTTATTTCTAGGAGAGAGACAGCATGAGCAGGGGAGGGTCAGAGAGAGAAGGAGTCACAGACTGAAACAGGCTCCAGGCTCTGAGCTGGCAGCCAGCACAGAGCCCGACGCGGGGCTCGAACCCACGAACCGCGAGATCATGACCTAAGCGAAAGCCGGACGCTTAACCGACTAAGCCACCCAGGCGCCCTGAAATAAACATTATTATATCCATTTTTCTTAATACTAAGAAACTAAGGCTCTGAGAGATAAAAGCATCTTTTCCCGAAGTCATGTGACTGGTAGTGGGAGCCTGAGTCCACCTACACCATAGCCCCCACTCCTACACTAGTGTCTTCCTGGAGAGGGTAGGTATATATCAGAACCTTCAGAGGAGAGGTTTGGGGATCTTGATTTTTTTAAAAAGTCCTCCGGACTCTTGCAGTGGCCAGCCGGCGTTGGGAGCTTCTGCCTCGCACCATGTGGCTTTCTTAAAGCCATTCATGGGATGTTTGGAGCACAAAGAGAGAGTAGATACCCACCTTTGGGGTGTGACCTTAGCAAGATTTAAGGAATCTGACCTGGAGAGAAGCTTTAATCTGTGTTAAATGCCTTTCTGGCTGTGATGCAAGTCATTGAACTTTGCACCTCAGTTTCCTTGTCTGTAAAATGGGGATCCAGATACCCTGCAGGACTATTGAAGGATTAAGGATAGTACAGTAAATGACCTAGTACATGGCCTGGCTCACCTCTAGCCACTGAATAAAGGGTAGCCATTCATGTTGTTCACCACATTATCAAACGTCTTTGGAGGAGGCGCCTGGGGGACAGGTAGTTTCTCTGTGGCCCACTCACCCATTGCTGAGGCCCCTCCTTGGCACAGCCTGTCCCATAGAAAGAGCGAACTCCCAGAGACTCTTCCTCCAGGGAAAGCCAGTGTCCCCACAGGCCACTGGGTCTGGCCCCCGGTGCTTGAAGCTCTGACGTGTGGTGACAGTCCCTGCTTTTCAGCTGGTGAGTATGCCCTCCCCCTCCCTGGACTGGCCCAAGGGCAGACTGGGCAGGGGGAGCCGGCCTTGTGGGGAAAAGGCTGGCCCACCGCCTCGCTCCTCTGCCAGCTGGGCGGCTGGGCCCGGCAGCAGCTTGGACTAGCTCGAAGGCCCAGCAGGGGCCTCTGTTGGGCGGCAGCCTCCCCGCGCCCGAGCCCCTCAGCTAGCACCAGGCCATCTGGTGCCTCTGGCCCCTTTTGTGTGCCGGGGATGCGGGAGGAGGGGCAAAGGCAGAGGAGACAGATTTCTCTGGCCAGCTCTCTTCCAAGCTGAGAAGCTGGAGGTGGAGGACATGGGGCCTGGGGATGAGGTGGAGGCCACTCTGGGCTTGGGCCTTGGGAAGAAGGGACCAAGGGTTCTGAGGCGTGAAAGGGGCCAGGCTCACAAGGGAGGGAGGACGGCTCAGAAAGAACAGGTGCAGTGTGCGAGGGCCCTCGTAGGAAAGCTATAAAGGGGAAGAGGTGAGAGACAGAGAGAAAGGGTGAGAGTGAGCTGTGTGGCGAGAAAAACGTGAGTGGTGCGGAAGGGGGTATAAAGTATACGGAGAGGAATGAAGTCCAGGAGTAGGAAAAGGTGTACAAGAATCTCTCCATGTCGCATGCGTGAAGTTGCTGCCCTATTTCTGTTCTAGGAAAGAGGAAGTGAGAGCGTGTGGGCTGGCGGCCCTTCCCTGGCCAGCTGTAGGTGAGCGGAGGGCGGGGGGTGGCCGACAGAGCAGCCCGGCTTTCAGGTCAGGGGAGCCCCAGGGTCCAGCCCAGGCCGGCCCAGCCGCTGCCCAGGCCGGGTCCCTGTCAGGACTGCCACCACCAGCAGAAGGCCTTCGGAAAGGAATGTGATGGTTGGTCTCTGGGGTGGGGAGAAAACCTGTGTTGAATGCCCTTTGATGTGGGTCTGCGCCCAGGGAGGTCAGGAAGGACGCAGAAGGTGGCCTGCTTGCTCTGCCCGGGGCAGGACAAAAGGGCCTTGGGTTGGAAGCATCCTTCCCTCCGGCACTTCTCCCGTCAGCCTCCGTCCCTGGCCCTCTCTCCGACCTCAGCTTGCTTCCTCTCCTGGGGTTCTTTGAGGCAGTGCTGACCCCCTCCCAGCCCCTGGCCCTGAGATGTGTGGTTACCCCTTTGCTCTCCCACAAATCTGCCTTGCTCTCTGCATCAGGCCTTGTCAGCGTCTGTCTTCTGGTCCCACCTGGAAAGTAGGACTAAGTCACTGTTACCTTCTTTGAAGCAGGAAATGCACACTGATCGAAATCATGACTGAGGACGGGGAGAAGCCATACCGCTAATGTGGTTGATTTCGTGCAAATTGGTCCATTTAACACCAATCTGCATGGGATTTTCCCCTCTATTAAAGTCACTTGAAGATCAGAGGTGGGTTAGAGGCTCTGGGAAGCACTTTGCAGCTCTCGTGAGGTGGGGGGGGAGCCCCAAGCGATGTGCATGCATGGCACTGGCCCTGCTGGGCTCTGGAGGGCTCAGTGAGGAGCAGGGTGGGTGATGGGGGAAGTGCTCACTGTCAGAGAGGCTCCTGGGCCTTGAAGAAGGTCAGGCTGTAGCTTAGAAATCCCCCCAGCAAGGAGGCCGCCAGATGCAGCTGATGGACAGCCGGAAACAAGCAGGGCTTGACTTGAGATGTCCATTCACATTTAGGTGCGTCTGCACGGGAGCTCCCAGCCGGACCACCTGAGGAGGGGACAGAGGTGACTTTGTTTCAACGGTGGTGTATGGAGCACCGGCTAGTCCTCCCAAGCAGCCAGGAAGGTGAGGGAACCATGGCCCAGAGAGGCTAAGGGCTGGCCCGCTATCATTCAGTTAGTAAAGGGCAAAGCTACTTGGGCCCCAGAAGCCTGGGCTTCTCCCCTGAGCCGTGCTGCTGGCCAGGCCTGATGGGAAGGCAGGCTCAGGACTGGCTTCCTGGAGGGCCTTTGAAATGACCTTGGAAACTGAGCTGGACTTTGACACTTGGAAGGGCGATGATTCTTATGAATGGAAAAAACAGCGGGCACAGACGCACAGGGCCCATGCGGGGACTGGGGCAGGTCGCTGAACATGACCAGGCATTTGGCAGGAGACCCAGCCTGGGAGGCAAGCTGGAGCCATTTTGTGGAGTCCCGAAGGCCCTGTGTGGGTTGTGGTTTCTTCTCTAGGGGGTGGGGTCTGTTAAAAGCTTTGATGAGGGGAATCACGTGGTCAGGACTGTCCTGGCCGTGGTCTAAGGGGGAGCCAAGCAGGAAGGGACAGCGGTGGGGCCACGGTGGAAGGCCACGCAGTGAGCAGTGGGGAGGGCAGGGGTGGAGAGGTGTGTGAGCGGCCTGGAGGACTCCCACACAGAGCAGAGTGCAGCGCTGGCTGGAGGATGGCGTGGTTGTTTATAGAAATGGGGAAGTCACAGAGTGGGGGTGCTTTCGGGTGGGGGAGGGGACAGAAAAGAGATCTGAATTCGAACCTGGTGAGGTCACTTGCTGGCTGGACTTCCAGGTGGCCATAGGGAATAGCAGGGGCTCCCCGAGACTCAATCCCAAAACCTCATCTTGAATGTCCATCTGCTTCCTTCTCCCCTGAGGTGCTGAGCTCACTGATTGGGATTGCCTTACATTTTGTGTCTCCCCATGGCATCGGGACATTGGATGCCCTGGGAGCTGTGGGGCCCAGTTACCAGCTGGTGCTGAGGATCAAAGACAACTATTCATTCCCTGCTCCCAGATGTGGGTGCCTGACACCTTCAGAGAAGTTACAGATGAAGGGTTTCCCTAGAAGGCTCTTCTTGCAAGAGCTATTTCTCTGGTTTCCTCAAGGGAGACCTTGTCCCCCCGTCCACAGGGGTACAGAGGGGCAGGGGTGGCATTTTGGCTCATGGGTCCTGGCAGTGGCCCTGTCTAACCTAGAGGGAAGAGACTGCTTCCTTCTCCCGCCTTTACTTCTGCACGAGTGGGGAAAGAGACGGTTATCCAGGCTGTTCACTACTCCTGGTCTCTCGTTTCACCAGTTCATGACCTCTTTTCAAACACCCACCTGAGAGGTGCCTGAGTGGCTCAGTCAGTTAAGCATCCGACTTCAGCTCAGGTCATGATCTCACGGTTCGTGGGTTCGAGCCCCATGTCGGGCTCTGTGCTGACAGCTAGCTTGGAGCCTGGAGCCTCTTTTGGATTCTGTGTCTCCCTCTCTCTCTGACCCTCCCCTGCTCATGCTGTCTCTCTCAGAAATAAACAAAACATTTTAAAAAATTAAAAAACAAACAAACACCCCACCTGAACAGCTGAAAAACTGAACCCAGATCTTGGATTTGGGTTAGTCCCCATCCTTAGTGAGGAAGTAGAGCTCTGGGAAGAAGCAGCTTCTAAAAAGGATCCACTCATTCTTTTTTTCCATCCAATAAGTGTGCATCTAGTGTCTACTCTGGGTTGTAGGCTTCTCAGGGTGGCGAACTTGGGAAGGCAAACATCTCGGGGAGATTAATGGGAGATAAGGGCTGATTGGTAAAGTTTGTGCAGCTTCCTCCGGTGCCTTCTCTGGGCTGATAAGGGACCTCTTATAAATTTCTGCTCTGATTTAGGCAAAGAGCAGGAGGGCAGAGAGCTCTTCTTGCATTTTCTCAGTTGCTTTCAGTTCAAAATCCTTACACCAAAGTGGCCTATTGTGGAGTGGTGTATCCTGCCCCCCTTCACTCTCCAGGCCTGACAGCCCCCAGCACACACAGCCAGTGCACAAGACGAAGAGGACTAGGCCACTGAGCAGAGTCAAGGTGAAGGTGACGGCAGTGGCCTCCTTGCAGGTGGACGTGTGGTGTGGGCTGTGCTCCTGGTTTTAAATGAGGAAACTGTGCTTCCCCAGAAGATGAAAGACTTATCAAAGGTCACTCTACAAATGACAGAGGTGGCATTTAAGGGAATGCTGCCTCAAGTGTTGTTTTGTTTTGTTTTGGCTTTGTGTTGGCAGTGCTGGACTTTCATGGGGAAGAGTTGAGGGGAGCTGCTGTGTTACCCCTACCTCTCCTCTGTCTTCCACACCAGGTGTCCTTATACCCCCAGCTATTTTCTCCCAATTACCTGGTTTTATTGTAGGTGAATCATTTTTGGCTCTCACCGTTGACCCCTCTGAGGGCCTGGTAACAATGTCCGAGACTCTCAGGAAGGCTCATGCCTCCCTTTAGCATCCCTGCCAGGAGCCAGTTTCTTCAGAGCCGTGGTCTCTGGTCCTGGGAGGCTGGGGACCTGGGAGGCAGTGTGCCTTGCAGGAGGGTGCAGCCAGTGGCAGTGAGTGGCAGGGTGGCTAGTGCTGTGTTTCTGCCCACGTGTCCCTGGACCTCTGAATTTGTGTGTCAGCCGTCCAGCCTGTGGCTGAGAGTGAGGGAAACAAGCCTGGGCATGTCTGGCGGGGCCGGCTGGCCAGGAGCACACTTGCGTGAAGCTGCAGAGATCCTCGGGAGCCGCTACTGGATTTTGAGGCACGGTAGCAGGAGCTGAGCCTGGAAAGAATGCCTTGGTCAGGGGAGGGGAGGAGGGATATGCTGTGGGGGAGTAGAATGGGCATTGATGATGATGATAATGAAGACGACGATGATGACGGTGTGATGGCAGCAGTAGTGGTGGGTGTTACTTATTGAATGGATTCTAGATGCTGGGCACCATGCTCTGCTCCTTTGTAAGGACTAGATCACATTATCCTTAGAACAACCCCTTCAGGTGAGATTTATCCCTACTTTCATATTTTACATTTTGTATCTTACAGATGAGAAAACTGAGGCTCATACCTCTGGTCATCAGTGGAGCATCATCTGTCAGAACTCCTGACCACTGTCCTTTCTGGAGACTTCAAGAGTCCTCCTGGAGACCAGAGATACTGGACAGGGTGTCCCAGGGGGAGCCTAGAGCCAATGTGGCTCAGAACCAGCCAAATATGCATTCCTACTATTCTTGTGTCTCAGATTGGCAGGTCTGGGGAATCTTGGGTTACATTTATAGGTCTTTAAAAATGGAATTGTTTTCACCCTTGACTCTAAAATAATTTACTTTCTTTAGCCTTTGCTTATAAGGAGGTATGGCTCTCTTTAAAGGGCTCTTAAAAATGCTTCCTGCTATGACTCCTCTGGGCCATTCTACTATGAATTGGCACAAACACTAACGGCTTAAACCCTTCTGGGCAACACTACAGAAGAAAATAAATCCTGGAGTGTCATAATTGGCCACAAGCTGAACATGAGTAAGCAGCAGAAATACTGATTTGTGAGAAAAAGCGGATTTGTGGCAAGTGTGAAGTGTGAAAAGGGAATTAGCCCCCCCGCCTCCGTGGGGTAAGGCAGAGTAACTTCCCTACTAGCTGTGCTCCAAGGGTTTATTTATAGGTCATTTCTTAGGAACTTGGAATTCCTTCCTTCGCAGAATCATTGTTACGAATAGAGGCAAGCTCTGAAGCTGGTCTAGAAATGTGCGCATATAGCTCCGATCTCGATCTCGATCTCGTGTTTACACTGAAACAAAGGAGAGAGCAACATTCCTGTGTCAGATGGGAACTGCCCCGTCGGATACTTTACGAGTTATGACACCATGTAAGAAGCACAGCTGCTTCCGGATTTCAGGTTGTTAGTATTTGGCACACCTCTGCCTCTTCGTACCCCCACCCCTACCAGATCCTTCTAGAAGGCTTTCAGCTCTTCACTCAAATCATTTGTGCACAGAAGGACACTTCTCCCTGACCCCAGTCTCTGACTCCTGTCCCTACTCCTGTCTTTGACTCCCAGTGTGCGATGCTCTTTCATGCACTTTCCTAGAGTCTGACAACCATATGATGGAAGTCAGTCCTACCTCCAAAATATACCTCCCCCTAAATTGTACCTCTGTCTTTCTGCTGCCTTCCATTTTCATTACCCACACCTTGGTCATCATTTCTTGTGGAGACAGAGCAATAGCCTGGATGGCTTCTTTCCTTCCCACTCCCTCCCCTCCTCCAACCCCCAGTTCTGTTTTCCACACAGTGGCCAGAGCAACCTTTGACCATTATTACCAGTTCACGGCACCTCCCAGCAGGTAGAATGAAATCCAGGTCTTACCCTGACCTTGCCAGGCCTGGGGCAAAGCCGGAGAGGGGGGAGCTGTCGGAGGGGGGGTGCTCCCTGCCTCTAGGCTCCTCCCTGGCGCTGGGCTTTTGCTCTTGCCTGCCTTTCAGTCTGGACCTCTTTTCCTCCCTGTTGCCTCTTCTCATCTGGCAGGTGTCTATTTTTTATTTTTATTTATTTTAAAGTTTGTTTATTTATTTTTAAAGAGAGACAGGGACAGCACAAGTTGGGGAAGGGCAGAGAGAGAGAGGGAGAGGTGGGGAAAGAGAGAGCGAAGGAGAGAGAGAGAGAGAGACAGAGAAGGAATCCCAAGCAGGCTCCGTGCTGCCAGCACAGAGCCCAACAAAGGGCTGGAACTCACGAAACCATGAGATCACGATCTGGGCCCAAACCAAGAGCCAGATGCTTAACTGACTGAGCCACCCAGGTGGCTAGCAGGTGTCAGTTTAAATATTAGCTTCCTCCTCAGAGAAATCTTCCTTGATCTTTCTTTCTAAAAGGTCGTCTTCTGTGCTCTTTTACAAAGATCCTATTTCATTCCTTCGAAGAATATAATCTCAGTCTGCAGTGCCTTGTCTGCTCGCCGTATTCTTCTATGTTTGCCATCACCTCCACCAGAATGGAGTTTTAAATGCCTGGCTTTGTCCAGCCTGCTTATTACTGTAGCCCAGAGCAGTGCCTGATGGTGGAGGTGTTC